GACAGAATTTCGTTAGCGTCGTAATTCTCATGTCGTGAATTAGCTAGTTTAGGGTTTTTAAAAGCTTAATCTTTGGAATGCCATAACTTTTGCATACGAACTCCGTTTTTGACGTTCTTTATATCCATATGTAGGTGGAGATGTATTATACAACTTTCAATTAGATCCCTAAGGCTAAAAAGTCCTCTATCTTAAATTCATTATTTACGTCTCCCGGTGTCATGCCGGTTTTGCCGAAAAACTTCGACGGCCATAACTTCTTCGTTATAACTCGGATTTTGGCGTTCTTTATATGTACGGAACCCTTGAATCATATTCTACAACTTGGTTAAGATTATTTATTATAAATAATCTTTTGTTGAAAAGTCATTTTCGACCCCTATTATCTCTAAATTGACTAGCCCGGATCTACGGGCGTTACAATTATCTCCCCCTTAGAATGATTATGTCCAGAAATCATCAACGAAATAGGGCTCACATGATGACTCCATACGTTATCTCTTCATCCTAAGTAATAACCTTAATTTATGTTCCTTCGAACGAGTATCTTACTCTAGGACTTCCTGATTGCAGGCGGTGCCCGATCTTGGACCTGCTCTCAATCTCATGTTAGGCTTCCAATCATGACCTTCATGTCACGATCTCGATCTTTATTGGACACTCCTTCTATAACAAACTTGAGAGAAGTTTTTTCCTTCGATTATCATAATAGAACGATAGGTCATGTTCTAATGACCTCTCATCGTTTGATGTATTGCTTGGACTCAGGTCTTTTAGAGCCAAATTCCAAAATAGACTATACCTTCCTTCATGTTCTAATCAGATATTAAAAGGTAGCATTTCTAGCTACAAGCAACCATCGCAATACCTCTACCGATCACTTCGATTATCTTTTACTTCAATCCTATGGCTTAAGTCAGATGTTACATCAAACTTGCTTCTCTGAACCACGTAACATACTCATCATAGTTGGACACAATTTGATATGACCACTAAGGTTGGAATAACAATCATATTCTTAGTCATTACCGAAACAATGGTAACGACATGCTTGAATAAAACGGAATCAATTATTGGCTTCTTGGTAACCTTGTGATTTTCCCCGATCCAAGCGTGAGTCATGTGTTTTCGGTAGTATACGCATCTACTACCTTTCACACCTACTCATACTCGTCCCAAGTATTATCTCGCAGTCCCCAAGTCCTAAAATCACAAAACAATTTAACGCATACGAGTGTGTCCAAATAATCATAAAAATTTCCCTAGACTCTACTAGGACTTCTTCCATGCGTATCTTAAATCATCAATTTTGCTTCAACTCGGTTGGTGATGGAAATTCCAAATGATAGGAAAACTTTAGGAACTACACCAATCGTTCTATCATCCCGCCAATCAAATGTGTACATTCAGGTGTACCGTACTTCTCTCACTACTAGAAAAAAGGCCTTTTACGATGCTCATTGCGCGTCGTAAAACGCTCAGACGACGCGCAAATGCGCGTCAAGGAAGGCCCTGTCATAACGAGAGATGACGCGCTTTTGTGCGTCGTCTATAGACGACGCGCATTTATGACACGCAATTACGACGCTCATTTACGACACGCAATGCGTATCAAGGAAGGCCCCGTCATAAAGGAAGACGACACGCATTCGCGTGTCGTAACCTTACGACGCGCGTGTTAATGACACGCAATGCGTATCATTAAACCCGCTGTCAAGAAAGGCCATGTCATAAATGTAGATGACACACATTTTTGCGTATCTTAATTGTAAATTTAAAATATATATATATATATATATATATATATATATATATATATATAGATTTACTAATTTTCAAATTAAATTTGCATTTCATGTCTTATAATAGAAAATAAAATATCATATACAAAAAATACAATCCATTGCACAAAAGTTAATGTCATACAAATACTCATTCTAATATTAGACAAATGTAATACATCAAATGTGAAAGAGATGAAAGTCTTCAACAAATAACAGTTGAGCTAAAAAATACTTGTTGCCCACCTTCACAACATCTCAAGCTACTTTGCTTGTCACTATGGACGTCAACAAGACCTACAAATTTGAATAATGCAACCATTAGATTCACATAAACCAACAAATCCCAATATGTAAGCATGAAATTTATGCATCTATGTTAAAGGGGTAAAATGGTCATTTACAATTCATTCAGAGCAAAAACAGAACAACTTTTTTCATTTACTACTTACTTCACCATACAGACCTCATTTATCTCAACAAATGCATCATACTGATTATGGCATCGTTAGATAAGTTAAGTGACTAAGTTAAGTAGGTAACTAATGAGACATAAAACCGATGAAATGACTAAAATGCCCTTATAGTAAGCATCAGAAGAAGATTAAGTATGACTTTATAAATCGGACCAATATCAATACTTGAACATTGATCAAAAACTTACATGAGAGCAAATCCCATTTTCTCCACAACACCTCTGAGATTTTTCACCATTTTCAAGCTTAATTGGATAGTGTTTCAAGGATCCCGAGCCTCCTACTTTTTGCTCCAAGTTTCCAAGATTCTTAGCAAATGTTGGACCAAAAATGAAAGAAAAAAATGGTTTTCTGAATATATACTTCAATTACTAAGAAAATAGTAAGTCAAAAAACTACAAATGTTCAAAATAAGAAGCTAGTAAAGCTTTGCCATAATGGTAAGATGTTATGATATACAGAGCAAATGTAAAATTCAATAAGATGCACATAATAATATTCTTATGATCTTATAAGATTTCCAAATAAGATACTAGTAAAGCTTTTGCACAATGATATAAGATGTCATGACATACAGATCGAATTTCAAGATTCAATTAATAAAATGCAAAAAATAATATGTTTTAGGGTAAATTATAAAAAAATGGTCCCTGAGCTTTCTAATTTTCCCATTTTTAGATCAAAATTGAAACATTTGTCAGCTTTTGTTCTTATTTTTGTTCCAATTGTAGTGTAACACCGTGAATTTCAAAACAATTTTTCATTTAAAATAATCGTAAATTCTTAGAAACACTTGTTTAAAATCTCATTTATAAACGAATTACAAAAAACAAAACTCCTTTTTCACTTGCATAGAAAACCAGGATCCTCCAAAACATGACTCTTTTTCTGGTGTGTACAATCAAGCCGGTGCCGTCCCGTGATACTGAAAGAAACCTGAAAAACAACACAACACAAAACACTGTAAGCACGAAGCTTAGTGAGTTCCTCAAAATACCACACATAACACATATTAGCCACTCGAGGCTATAACTCTGTGGGTCGATGCACCCAAACTCTGTGAACCCTTAGGTTCTAACTCTGGGAACCTTCCGGTTCCAACTCTAAAAACATGCACAACATAAATCACGTAGAAATAATGCAGTACAATACATCACGTACATATAGCAGACAAATACTCTGATCACATAACTCTGGTTACCTACTCAAAGTAAAGTATAGTGAGAAGACTCACCTAGCAAACAGAAAGCAGATATCCCCACACTTGAATCTCGAACCCACCACCGCCTAACACGTAAGGCAAATACTCTCATGAATATAACTCTCGAGACTAGAATCAACCTTCTCATGGCACCCTCTTAAGGGTAAAAGACTATTTTACCCCTCTCTTGGCCCAAAGGCCACATCGCTGACTAAGCCTTAAAAGTCAACAGTCAACTCTTGGTCCAAGTCAAAGTCCTCCGTCAAAGTCAACCCTCCTGGTTGACCCTGCTTGCCGAGTCAACCCGTCGACTCGTCGAGCTCCCATGCTCAGAACTTCCCCAATCTGCGACTCAACTCGCCGAGTCACCCCGAGACTCGCCGAGTCCCACAACTCTGAGTCCACTCGCCCACAACTCACCGAGTCATCCCTCGACTCACCGATTCTCGACTCAACCAGAGAATATCGGGACCCTTCGACAAGACTCGTCGAGTCCAAGAACAGACTCGCCGAGTCTACGGCTATCTTCAACCTACTCGCCGAGTTGTTCATACAACTCGCCGAGTTCCAGGCCATCTTCATCCAACTCGTCGAGTACACCCATGTGACTCGCCGAGTACCACCGTTCTGAATCCATTCAGAAGCATTCCAGGCCATGCAATTTTTCCAAAACATAGATCTAGTCTCCTACCACTCATCCATCACGTAAAGTGGCAAACTTTACGTGAATCCAAGGAGATCTAATCCGTTTGCACATTGGGGCTAGGGTTTGGGACATGTAAGCTTCACTAAACACTCCAATACAGGGACTTTCATGCACTCTAGACCTTCTCCCTTCCAGATCTGAGGTAGCAACCTCAGATCTAACCTATAAACTCCAATACATCCAAAGATATGATCTCCAACACCCCCAAAATGATGCATCTAAGAAATAGCAGCTCAAAAAAACGAGATATTACCTCAAAGGAATGCCCCAAAAGAAATGAGACTCGAATCCAAACAAAGCCCCTTGCTCCAAGCCTTCAATCTCCCAAAATTCCTTCACAAATACATTCTCCAAGCTCCAATCCATTCAACAATGGTGCTTCTTCGTGATTTAGGGTTTTCTGGGGCTCAAGGGGTGATAAAGAGGCTGGGAGGGAAACATAATGATCTTTATATAAGGCTCAACCCCGAGAATTAGGGTTTTCTCCACACAGCGCCTACTCGCCGAGTCCATTACACTGACTCGCCGAGTCGGCCACTTAACACGCGACCAAGTCGCGACTCTACTCGCCGAGTCCATCCATGGACTCGCCGAGTCACTCTTTCACAACTTACTCTTTTAGGCCCTTAAACTCTACTATTGATATTTCGGGATGTTACATGTAGATTCTTTTCTCTTTCCAATTCATATTTGTGTTTCCATTCTATAGCCTCAGGTTGAGCAGCAGCTTTAGCTTCTGCTGCTTCTCTTAAAACCTTGCCAACTGCTTATGAGTGACATAAACCACAAGGATCAGACATGAACCTTATTATTAACAAAAGCATCCTACTTTTATTTCACCCAAATGAAGCAATCATACTTCTCATGGCTATCGAAAACTCCACAAGTTGATCTTCAATCCCATCAACAAGTGGAAGTGGTTGATCATCAATTTCTTTTACAACTTTCTCTAAGTTTCCAAGAGGAAGGAAATCATTTACACCATTCTCATGTACAAGATTATGTGCATTCACCTGTTCAAAATTGAATGAAAATTCGAAAGAGAGTAAGTATAAACTAGAGAAAAGGGCTCTACAAATGTTAAAAGGCAACACATATACTTGAGCCTATCATAGCATTACATAAATATTCAACCATATTTTGAACTTAATGCTTCAAGACATATTATTGAAACATTCAGCCATCTTTTGAACTTAATACTCAAATTCTATTTATAGCATTTCCTGTTAATATAGAATTTGAAACTTGGCAGTACCTTTTTGTGGTTATTGTGGGATTTCTTACCTGTACCCATCTTGTAAGGTCTATAACACAGGGCCAATAACCAATTCAAACTTTTCCTTTGTTAAAACTACACAAACTACATCACCCAAAGCAACAATATGTAAAGAATCAACGTATTCACCAAGAAGTGTCCATTCTCCAAAATACCCCCCTTCACTGAACATTGCTATGTCATAACCACAACATGAGAAGCACCATCTGTCATAACCACACAAATATTTTCAACTGGGAATCCAATCAAAAAACCCCTGCACATATACAATTAAAAGAAGTTGAGTTTTTTTTATAAAAAGATATAAAGGTAATAAAACAAACAGAAGTATGATTAATAATAATAATAACACTTACGAATTGGCAGCTTCCATGAAACATTTCTCAATGTGAAGGATAAAATTGGAGGGTATAGCCTGTCCTATTATCATGTTCTCAAATTCAAATTTCATCTCTGATTCAGCTGGCAGTGGCTTTATATACCTATCATTTTTTTAAAGCAAAATATTAAGAAAAAACAGATCTGGATTGTATAAGCAATTGACCTGAGAAATTACCAACATGAAACCATTAAAACTGAAGAGAAATTTGATAGAAAAAAGTATAGTTGAGTATCAAGAATTCAAGATTATGTCCCCTTGAAATGTTGGTGCTTTTAAGCAAATCAAGAAGCATATCAGAGTTACTGTAATAAAGTAACTTGTCAACAACAGATAGACACCCATAACAGATATATAAATCCACCCCAGAATCAACAACCTGTTCAAAAATGAGAAGAAAAGAAAGGGTATATCAGGGAAATTGTAAAAGTTAGCAAGAAATCAGTACAACATGATTGACAAATGATAACCAACCTGGATCAAGACATGTAATAAATCATTCCCAAATTTCTCTACAAGATCAGGATGTGTCACCAAGAAAGCTTCTTTTTCTACAGCTAATGGAACTTCTTGATTTCTGGATACAACGGGTAGAAGTTGAATCAACAACTTCAAAACTTCATGCATTTGATTATAATGTCCATCAATTGTTCGAGGGGAAGGGACTCCATGTGAAAGGTCATATATTGAAAAGATCTCTTTCAAAATGCTACATATATTAAGATCAAAAAGTGTCTTCACAGCTACCATAGAACCAGAAGTAAGTTTAACAAGTAGTCCAATTAAACCCTACATAAAAATACACAAGTGTAACATCCGGATTTTTACCAGGTATAATGAAAGTTTAATTATGTCATTTTGTAGAGGGACTCGGCGAGTCCGGGCTCAGACTCGCCGAGTAGAGACGCGGGATTGAGCGAAGATGCGCGCTTGGACTCGGCGAGTCCAAGGTATGGACTCAGCGAGTCTGCGCTGTGTAGTGAAACCCTAAATCTCCGGGTTTGTGGCCTATTTAAAGGGCCTTATGGCCGTCATTTGCACTCATACAACCCCCAGAGTGTGTCCATAGAGTCCTTGAGCGTTTGGTGAAGGATTGAGAGCAAATCTTGACCTTGTGAGTGTTGCTTAGCAAGAAGAAGGAGGCTCTAGGCAAGAGGAAGCAAAGGAGGTTGCTATTTCGTGGATTTGGAGCTTGGATCATCACTCTAGAGGTATTATTTTCGGACCATTTTCTGTTTGGTGAAACTTGATGCAAGTTAGGGTTTAATATGATCATTTATGGGGTGATTTGGTGCCCTTTTGACCCCTCTTTGAGTTGAGACCATGGATCTGGATCCATAGAGGTCTAGAGGGCCTCACTCATCAAGCTTTATGGGTGAAAATGGAGTCCTTGGCCTTGTGTTGAAGTAATAGAGTCAAAATCATCATTTGTGATCATGTAGAGGTTATTTATGCATCAAGGTTGTGACTTTACGTGCTAAATAAGCATGGGGGACTGGATCTATGGATTAGTGGACTGGATCTGGCCTTTTGAGCAAGATTGAGTCAGTGCATGGCATGGACTCGCCGAGTCCGAAGAACAGACTCGGCGAGTAGCTTGAATGTTGCACAACCACTCAGTGAGTGGCCTCGCCGAGTTGGGATGAGTGAACTCAGTGGGTCAAAGGGGGAGTCAGGATGGACAGGTGGACCGAGTCAAACTGGACTCGCCGAGTTGTTCTTGAGACTCGGCGAGTTGAGTCGTGGTGGCCCCACAACTCGTGCCAGGTGGAGCTCGTCGAGTTGGGGGAAATACTCGACGTGTCAAGGGAGGATTCCAGGGAAGTTGGTGCATGCGCACGGACTCGCCGAGTCGCCATGGTGCACTCGCCGAGTCCGGTCAAAGTTGACCGTTGACCAGTGTTGACCAAGAGTGATTTGTTATAGTGTGATCAACTCTAGATTGGGAGAGTGTTAATTAGAGATGTATTGTGCTATAGGGGGACTACAGCTCGGCGGATCGAGTGTTTAGTGATTTCAGGGTTACGAGTTACCGAGACACACGAGGTGAGTCTCCTCACTATACTTTACCTTGAGTAGGTAACCAGAGTTATGTGTTAGAGTATTTGTATGCTATGTATGTTATGTGTTGTACTGCATGATTTATATGTGATTTATGTGGTGCATGTTTATCAGAGCTAGAACCTGAGGGTTCACAGAGTTTGGGTGCACGGACCCACAGAGTTATAGCCTCGAGTGGCTAATATGTGTTTTATGTGGTATTTTGGGGAACTCACTAAGCTTTGTGCTTACAGTGTTGATGTTATTTGTTTCAGGTGTTAGTGACGACCGCGGGAAGGCGCCGGCTTGATCCGTACACACACGTTTGAAGTTTTACATGTTGATCTTGGGATTTTGTACTGTTTTATTGAACAAGTAAAATGGGTGTTTTTATGAATATTAGTGGAATTATGTTATATAAAAATTGAAAATTTTGTTTGAAAAATCAGTGTTACAAATTGGTATCAGAGCCTTGGTTTGAGGGATTTGGGTACACCTTCGGGAGTATTTGAACTCAAACTGAGGAATTAAAGGGATATTTTCAAAAATAAAAACCAAAATTTTCTAAGAGTAAAGGGTTTTCCAGGAAGAAACGTGTGTACGATCAGTCAGCGCCCGAACGGTGAATTCCCAAAATACCTTTTGTTATGAAATAATTAATACTGTGATGTGTTTGCATGCTAGAGCAGGCTAGGTATTGCTGATAGGACTAGAGTGGCCTGTTTTGTGATGCTTTAGCTTAGGGAATGGTGAGCTGCTGTGAGATGCTAAGAGTAATTAGGTAGCAGCTAGGGCTTTGTGTGAGATTTGTTCCAGAGTGATTTGGGTATGATAGAGTACTTGGGGACTGGGATCCGAAGAGGACGATTTGGGGTGTGTACTGAGACGGTGCGGACAGTAGTATTGGGCCCGTACTACTCAAAGCACCGGTGCGGTACACAGTCCAAATAAGAATCTGGGGATGCCAAGAATCAAGGAGGGTTGGATTGTTGAATGTAAGAGTATTCGAGTGAATTCTAATTATCGCATGTGTATTGATTACCGGGAACTGAATAAGCTGACGGTCAAGAACCGTTACCCGCTGCCGAGGATCGACGATTTATTCGATCAGCTACAGGGAGCATCTTGGTTCTCCAAGATTGATTTGAGGTCGGGCTATCATCAGGTGAGAGTGCGGGACGAGGACGTCCAGAAGACAGCATTCAGGACACGTTATGGGCATTATGAGTTTGTGGTGATGCCTTTCAGGCTCACTAATGCCCCGGCTGTGTTCATGGACCTCATGAACAGGGTATGTCGGCCGATGTTGGATCGGTCGGTGATTGTTTTCATTGATGATATTCTGGTATATTCGAGATCTAGTGAGCAGCACGAGGAGCATCTGAGGGAGGTGCTTGGGGTTTTGAGAGCGGAGAAGCTTTACGCAAAGTTCTCCAAGTGCGATTTCTGGTTACGGGAAGTCCAGTTTCTGGGACATCTCGTTAACCAGAAGGGGATATTGGTCGATCCGGCCAAGGTTGACGCAGTGATGAGGTGGGAGGTGCCGAGGTCACCTTCTGAGATACGGAGTTTTCTCGGGTTGGCGGGGTATTATCGGAGATTTATTAAGGATTTCTCCAAGATTGCGGTTCCACTCACCAGGTTGACCCGGAAGGGTGTGGCATTTGCATGGGGTCCCGAGCAGCAGACCTCCTTTGAGACGCTTCGCCAAAGGTTGTGTGAAGCCCCAGTATTAGCCCTTCCGGAAGGTATGGAAGGTTTTGTGGTATTCTGTGATGCATCGATCCTAGGATTGGGAGCGGTATTGATGCAGAAGGGTCATGTGATAGCTTATGCATCGAGGCAGTTGAAGCCTCACGAGACGAGGTACCCCACACATGATTTGGAGTTGGGGGCAGTGGTGTTCGCCCTCAAGATTTGGCGGCACTACTTGTATGGGGTTCGTTGTACGATTTACACGGATCATAAGAGTTTGAAGTACTTGATGGATCAGCCTAACCTAAATATGTGGCAGAGGAGATGGTTAGATGTGGTCAAGGACTATGATTGTGAGATCTTGTACCACCCGGGCAAGGCTAATGTGGTAGCCGACGCGTTGAGTCGCAGGGCGGAGAGTGCTCCCCTGCGAGATGTATGTTTGAGACTGACCGTGATAGCTCCAGTTCTGGACGCCATTCGTGGGGCTCAGGCCGAGGCCGTGCGTCCGGAGATGCAGAAGAGAGAGCGGGTTGTTGGGATGGTTTCTGAGTTTATATCGGATAGTCGAGGCCTTATGACTTATCAGGGCAGGATCTGGGTACCTTTTGTGGGAGGTACCCGTGTTACATTGATGGAGGAGGCTCATAGATCGAAATTTTCGATCCACCCCGGGGCCACGAAGATGTATTTGGACCTAAGAAAGGAGTATTGGTGGCCCTGTATGAAGAGGGATGTAGCATGGTTTGTCGAGAGGTGTTTGACCTGTCGAAGGGTAAAGGCCGAACACCAGAGACCGCATGGCAAGTTGCAGCCATTGGAGGTTCCCGAGTGGAAGTGGGAACAGATCACTATGGACTTTATCACCAAATTGCCGAGGACTGCCAGAGGAGTTGATGCAATTTGGGTGATCGTGGATAGGTTGACAAAGAGCGCTCATTTTCTTGCCATCAGTGAGAGTTCTTCAGCGGAGAAATTGGTAGAGATTTACGTGAGAGAGGTTGTATCTCGGCATGGGGTGCCGGTCTCGATTGTTTCAGACCGCGATGTGCGGTTCACTTCCCGTTTTTGGAAGAAATTTCATGAGGAATTGGGTACTAAGCTGCATTTTAGTACCGCATACCACCCCCAAACCGACGGTCAGAGTGAGCGGACGATACAGACACTCGAGGACATGCTTCGAGCTTGTGTATTGGATTTTGGGGGTAGTTGGGACTCGTATTTGCCTCTAGCGGAGTTTTCCTACAATAACAGCTATCATTCGAGCATTGCTATGCCGCCCTTTGAGCTGTTATATGGTAGGAGGTGTCGGACTCCCATATGTTGGGGAGAGGTTGGGCAAAGGGTAATGGGCAGTACAGAGATCGTGAATCATACGACAGAGCAGATACAGCTGGTCAGGCAGAGGTTATTGACCGCTCAGAGCCGGCAGAAGAGTTATGCGGATAGGCGCCGGTCCGAGTTGGAATTTCAAGTCGGCGACTTTGTTCTCCTGAAGGTCTCTCCTTGGAAAGGAGTGATCCGGTTCAGGAAAAGGGGTAAATTAGGACCCCGGTTTATTGGCCCGTTTCGGGTGATCGCCAAGGTGGGCCGGGTAGCCTATCGGCTGGAGTTACCAGCAGAGTTGGGGCAGATTCACAACACTTTTCATGTATCGCAGTTGAGGAAATGTATAGCCGATGAGTCGGCAGTGGTTCCACTTGAGGATATTCAGGTTGATGCAAGCCTGAACTATGCGGAGAGACCAGTGGCTATTAGGGATCGGAAGATCAAGGTTTTGAGGAACAAGGAGGTACCTCTGGTATTGGTTCAGTGGCAACATCGGAAGGGATCAGAGATGACCTGGGAGCCGGAGGATATGATGCGGGAGCAGCATCCGGAGCTGTTTTAGA